TTAATAAAAGCTCTGTTGCAGGGTGATGAGGAAACAAGTGCCAGGCTCTTGGCCAATATTTTGATTTAGAAAAGGAGAAGATAAGGTAAATATGCTGCTCTTTGAGGGATGGAGATGCTCTCGCCACTCCTGGTGCCGTGAGATGCATTTTAGTGGGTGCAGACTGCATTTTGGGTGCTGTGACCACCTGGTCTGTTGCAGACTTAACAGAACCAGCCAGGTCCTCACACTCCTATTTCCACCCATGGTGACTGCTTGCTCATAAAGCAGTGTTGCTGGCTGCCATGACAGTACCCAAAGCACAGCCTCGGTCTGTGCAAAGGTTGCAGGGCTGCTTCCCCCAGCATCGGGGAGCGTGGTGCTGAAATTCCTTTTGCTCACTTGGAAAAGTTTGGCTCTGTGCATCGCAGCTTGGGAAGCTGCCTCGAGTCAGCGTTCAGAGCAGTCGCACTGCCTGCTCCAGCACTGTGACAAGTAGCATCTGGGGACAGAGCTGAGCCCTTCCAGTTGGCAGTAACTGGCACGGTCATTTTCTTTTTGATTCTGTAGGCAGATCCTAGGTTGAGCGCGTGCAACAATTGTTTCTGATAGAATACATCAGCATGTTTCAGTGCAGGCTGCGTGTGCCCTGCCTGCAGAAAGCGAGCTGCTCTTCCTGTGAGGTTTTCTCTTGAATTTATGTCTGGGTCTCCTAAGTATACTCTTCATTTTTTCTGGCTTGACTTGATGATGGAGAAGGTGCAGTGGATGTGATTTTTCTTTCTTAGCAACACGAACTTGTAGCAGGTTGAAGGCCTTAAAGCAAGGATGGAGGTGGGGTTGTTATTTGCCCTTTCTTGTTGGCTTGGCTCTCAAAGCAGTTCATTTACTGCTGCAGACCAACTCCGTATCTCACAACAGGGCCAGGCTTTCTCTCTGTGCTTTGCTTTGTCTGATAGGGGAGGTGTGGTGCTACCTGTCCAAAAAATAGGAACTGCTTTCTGGGGAGCAGAGCAGGCATCAACTCAAAAGATGAGTTCCTCTAATCTAAGCAGTCCTCCTCTATCCTGTGAGTCCTCCTCTAATCAATACAGAAGAAAATGTTTTATAGCTTTCTATTTCTCAACACCAAATAGCCTTGCTTCCTCCCCCCCTTTTTTTTTTAATTTTACATTTAAAGCAGTCCAAATTAAATCAGGATCCTTGTGAATCTTGCTCTAATAATTACCATCACAGTCTTTTGTTTTCATTTTCTTTTCATTTTCCTAAGTTGTTTTTTTCGGAGGCTGCCTGCCTACCCACTGGCTGGAGAAGTTAACATCCAGAAACTGACTTTTAGTCCTCTGCTGATGCGAAACAGTCGTTCATACTTATCTGTCACTCTGGTTTCTTCATATGTGTTTGCCAGAGCACTTCCTAACAAGATAAAATATCTTCAGAACTTGCTTGTCTCCTTGCAAATGAAGTTTGTTTACTTTGAAAAATTGGACTGACATATATATTATGAAATATTAAATTGTTTCATTTAAGCCATTGATGTGAAGACTTCTAGGAAGATAAAAGGGGGAAAATCTTCCTGCAGGAAGTATTTCCAGATATTTTTCTTGTTTGTCAAGATCAAGCATCAAGACAGTCACACTGTCACCTTACCTCACTGCTGCTGCAATGAACTTCTCTCGCAAACAAACAAAAATCCCACACCAGCCCAGCCATGTGTTTGAACTCCTGGGCATCCCCTTTTCTTTCATGAGCAGTGTCAGTATTTTCACTTCCTTAGGTATGAAGCCTTCTTTTGGCCCCTGCAACTTGTGACCACAGTCTTTTCAACGATGCTCAACTCTCCCACAGCATAACCTCATCTTGTGGGAGTTTGGAACCAGCCCATCCTTCCTTTCCTGACCTGCATGTGTTCTTTTCTATTTCTCTCTGCTCAGCTGCTGCCAGGCATCTGCCAGGAAGGGGATGAAGCAATGCAATATGCATTTCTGTAGGGTGGCAGAGGTCAGAGTACGCAAGGCCACATGATTACTTGAATAGCAAAAATCCGAATGCTCTGTTGATAGGATGCCCTTCTACTGTTGCTGTTTTGTACACGTCTTTGACACCATCAGTGCAGTCAGACTTCTTATACTAGTTTCTACCAAAGATCTTGAAAGGAGAGTTCATAATATTGCTTGTTTTGTCTGCTTTGTTAAAGTGATCTGATTTAAAAACAAACAACAAAAAAATGTAATGGAGCCTGAGTGCAGGGTTTGCACAATGGAACCTACAGGAAAAATGGTTTGATGGTATTGGGCATGATGTACAGTGTAACACCTTCTTAATTTGGTTAAATCTGACAGTAAGCATTGTGATGGAGTGCAGGAGCTGCAATTTTTGCTGCATATGAAGGTGTGAGGAGCATTAGCAGTAGGTGTCAGGATGGCACCTTGCACAAAACTTATGAAAGCAGGGGAGGGGGCTCATAGTGGCTCAGCGCTATGGCATGGCAGCCCAAACACCAAGCATGGTGACAAGGCCCCTCCATGGCTTAGCTGGAAGGGGGTAGGCTGAAGCTGTCAGTAAAAAAGGAGACTAAAGGTCTGGCTTCGTACCCGATCCCTTCTGTCGGCAGCTCTCCTGCTTCTCAAACCTGCACCAGGAGTGGGACAATAAATCAGAATGAATCCTGCTGCTGTTTTAGCAGCACTCTGGGGTCAGGCGGATGCTTCCTGCCTGGTTGGTGAGGCTTTGGGTTGGGCTTTTTAGAAAGTGTTGACTTGATGGCTGGGTGTAGCCAACAGGAGCAGGATGGGGAGGTAGCAATGGCAGTCCTGTATCTGTAGGGCACGTTGGCCCCTGCCCCATAGCTTTGTCCCAGCAAAGCAAACGGCTGTGGTGAAGATGAGGTGCAAGCTTCCTGAGAGTATGTTTGCTTTTTTGGCATCGTGGGTAACTGCAGATGTAACTTGATTGCAAATCACAGAAGTTATTTTGTGTGGTGACAGCGGTGACAATAACATACCTGTGAACCTTGATGTGGAAGAGGTAAAGCTGTTATTTAATGACGGGGAAAGGATGACTTCAAGTGTGTTAGAATGACTTCCTTTCGTCGGAGCTGACTGCTGAGAAGCTAAAATAACTGATGAGAGTTTAGTAAAACTAATTATTTGGGAATGGGGAGGAACTCGAGGAGTAGAATTTTGTATCTTGGGGAGATACAGACCTGTCATGTTCTGTTCTCCTGAATGTTTCATATGACATTCTCTAACTTGTATCTTAGGCCAGTTGTAATGTAGCCAGTGTGGAGGTATGGCTGAATTTCAGGGATAAAGAGTAATCCTGAAAGTTTTTATAAATGCAAAAATGTAGGCACGTTGACTTTGAAGGTATATCACACAGCATCTTTTATGAGCAAAAAGAGAAGTAGTTCATATACTTGTCATGACTTGAAAAGAAATGGTGAGAAAGCGGTGCTTTGTCTTAACTCTCTTTAAACATTCTCATCTGAGACACAACTGTTTTGCTTCTCTGCAGCAATATATTTTTTTAAGTCATATCCAAGTGCTACCAGATTGCTGAGCCAGACTGCGGGACTTAATTTTGCTTCGGGAGGGAATTGCTCTGTTGCAGTGAGACTTTGTGAAAATTCAAATGCGGGATGGGCTTAAAGGGAGTTTGTCCAACTCTGGTTTAATCTCTGTAAGGTACAATAACAGCTCTCAGCTGGGTTTTGCTTCGGTTCCCCTGTTCAAGGTATGTTCAGAATACCAGAGACGTTCAGGTAGGTCGTGGGGCAGATTGGTTTTTTTTTTTTGGTTTGCACTTCTGTTGGTTTTTTTTTTTTTTAATTATCTTTTATTCTTTTTTCCTTTTCTTCCCCCCCCCCCCCCGTTTTCTGCTTTTCGTTGTGAGAGCTCAGTAGGATTGGCGTGGCAGGAGCATATCTTATGGAGGATTGCTTGCAGAGCTGCTCTTGGAGCTTACCAGCCCAAACGACAGCTTGTGTTCCTTGTCCCTTGTTTTCACCAGCAAGTAATTCTTTGTAAATCCAAAGAGGTAGGGAAAACTATCAAGTGTAACCATTTTGAGACATCCTTGCTGTTGGAGGGAACTCTTGAGGCTGAAAATAACTATGAATTGAATAAATCTAGAAGTGTTTTGGGGCGTTCATCTGTCTGTGGTGTGGGACCTTCTGCAGCAGGATGGTGTTGGGCTGGGCAGCTCAGCAGGTAGCTCAGCCACTGAGAATAACCAGTGCAAAAGCACTTTGCAGTATGAGGAGAGTGTGTGAGGGAGCACTAAAACCTGGAATCAGCTATGAGAACGTCAACTGTTTTTGGATTTCTGTCTCACTAAAGGCAAGCTGGAGGTTTTGGAAGGGAACAAAGAATGAAGAAGATCCTGTGTAGGTTGTTTCTTTGTAGAAAAGCAGAGTGATGCTTCATCTCCTTCTGAAATGGGGTTAAAGTACTTGCTGTGCAGACTGCAGTATTGCAGACATGAGCAATGACAGAGATTGAGTTTTTAATTATTTTCTCAGGAGCTTGGATTGCTTTATACATGCATTAAACAGAATCTTACAGCTTTTGCTTGTGCTGTTTGCTGCTGCAGTGGAGAAATGGGAAAGCTTATGGAAGTGAGGGAAATATATGGACAGATGTGTAATGAAGGACTGATCGTTGTCATAAGAAGCAAAGGTTGCTAGGAGGAGGGGTGGGTTTAGGGGTGTATGAATGGGAAGCCAGTTTCACTTTGGAATATCACAAGAGCCAACAGATGGGAGGCAAACATTGATTTGCTCAGTAAATTGTTTTAGAATTGCCTTTGCTTAATAACTGCATAAATGAAAAAATAGCAGATCCTTGTTGACGTGAAAGAGGGAAAATACAGAAAATAGTTTTTTACATAACTTTCTATTAGAAGCAGTAATGTAAGAATGCTAGTACCACATTGGAAATGTAACATCATGCAGCTTATGGAGAAGTACTTAACATTTTATGGAAAACAATCCTAAATTTGTCTTTTCTTTTTTGTTTCAGTGTTCTGAGGTCATGAAACTTAATCCACAGCAAGCTCCATTATATGTGAGTAAAAAGTTTCAGCAGCTCTTTCCTTTCCTCCTATTCCTGTAAAATGCTTCTCACCACCAGTGATGGAGATTCTGCTCATTTCCTCCCTGCTCCCTAAAGACATTGCTTGTATTCACTCAGTTGTACTGCCAATACACAGTGATAACCCTCAGGTGAGTTTACTGAGTCCTTCTGACTTGCAAGGACTCGGTTTGAAGGAGGTTCTGTGGCACGTGGTAATGCTGGTGTCACATAGCCACGCAGTGCAGGAGCCTCCTGCTTTTTGGTTCCTCGCTTGGTGTGTCGAGAGGCTGTAAGAAAGAATTACTGGAGTGGAGAATGGAGCATCCAATGCACAGCTCACTCTGATGATGTTTTTCTGCTCAGGGTTTTAAATGTGGCAGGGAGCGTCTGGAAGCAGTTGGGGCTGGGCTGACAGGCTCCTGCAGCAGGGCATGGACTGTGGCACCTCCTGCAAGCTCATAGCCTCCCTGGCTGCGTTAATAGGGAACAAGCTTCCTTTTGCTCTTGAATAGCAGCTTTGTTGCAGAATACGGGGACTGTCAAATTAGACCCAAATTTGTGGGCGTGGATGCATGTGTGACACTTGTGCCAAAGCTGCCAGCCAAGGCTGTAACCATTTACTTTCTACATTGCTGTGCACACAGCAGGATGGGCTGCTAAGCTGTCCTGGGTTTGTGTGCTGCAAGAGTGGAAAGCTGGGAGGAAAAATTGCTTACTAATGTAGTTCTTTGCGGGAGGAATAGGAAACTCTCACATCAGGTAAATGAGCTGTAGCTTGGAAAGCATTGTTTGTGGTAAATAGTGAACTTACTGACCTTTTAATTTCGTGGAATTTTTCAAGTTTTGTGTATGCTTCATTACCACCTGGAAGCTGTGTGCATTAGAATTCATTCTGTACTTACTGTGCTAAGTGTGGTGCTGGGAGGAAGATGAACACCATGTAGGATGATTTGACTTGAGCAAAACAGCCTTCCTGCAGTAGAATGCCATGTTGTGTTTTATTATGGAGCTCAGTTCAGACTGAAGTCTGTTAAAACACAAGCGTGCTGAACAGAGTGACTTTGAATAAACTTTTATTTAAACTTTAGGTTTGTTTAAAAAAAAACAAAAAACAAAACAGACTTATGTATAAACATGTTCTGCAGATACTACAGTAAAAATGTATGAATGGTAGAAAGCAGGATAAAATTATTCTTATGTCTGTTGGGCAGGGTATGCCTTAACAAATCAGGAGGCTTTGTTTTCCCAGTCTTATCTTCTGACTCAGTTTACTTTCCCACCATTTTGTGTAGCTTTGCATTCAATACGTATTTCAGTGGCTGATTTAGAAGTCCTCTTCCCCACGTGACTGTGAGGAGGACTTGGCTGAGGTCAAACTTTGCCCAGTGGGAAACAATGATTGTACAGCACTCAGTATTGTTTTTTTTTCTTTCAGATGGGAATAAGTTCATGGCAACATTATTTCTGCATCAGGGACTCCTTTTTCTCTCCCCTTGATGATCCCATGACCAGGTGTCTATGCAGATCAGATCCCTCTCAAAACAAACGAATCTTGGTGGCTTAAGGAAGAGGGGAAAACAAAAAGAAACTCATCAACCTTAAAAACTAGATATTTCATCTTCCTATTTCCTTTGAGTGTTGATGTTATGCAAATTTTAAAATTAGTTGCTGTGTTCCTGGAGGTGTGAATTGGTTCAGCTCATCTGAGAACTGTGTGAGGTGAGCAGAGCATAAAGGAAAATACATTTTCCTGGTATTTTTCTTTTTTCAAGGGCTGGCCTGTTAGCGGGTGAATACCAAACCTTGTTCAGAGCAGTGATAACTCTGCTTTCCTTGCATGGATTCCTCCTCCAGCTTGTTTTCAGGAAGCTGAGAGCGGTGTCCAATGAATTTCTCCATAATTACTTACAGCTCTGTGAAATAGATGACTGGAAATGGCAGGCAATACAAACACATCAGGGAATCTCTCTTCATTTGCCTACTTTCAGGAATGTTGCTTCCCCTAGGTTTTACCCTTTTATGCTTGGGGCCTTTGCAGTGCATCCTTCATACATTTTCTCTTTTAAATCAATAGGTTAGATTCAAGATTATTTATTTAATTTGAATCTTTCATGAGTTTCATCCTGAAAGCTCCATGTAAAGTGCAGACTTGGGCTAATGCACAGAAATGATGCTAAAATGCCTTAGAAAAATCTGACTGCAGCCACTTTACTGATCTACTTTTGAATGGAGAAGCTAAAAAAAAAGATGATGTCTCCAGATCTATTCCTGGAAGTCTATCAGCTTGTAGCACGTTACTCCTTATCTGATGATCAACAGATTGCCTGGACTTGTAACTTGATAATTACGAAAGACAAACTGGGAACCTGAGGTGCTGAATCTACTGGAGACCAAAATTTTGCAGGTGATAGAAAACGCAGAACTTCCACATATGCTCTAATATAGGGATGAGCTCGGTGCTGCTCCTGGTTTGTCAGCAGCATGGTCACAAGGCAGAGGAGCTGGTGCCAGGAGAGATAGGACAGCTATGCATTCCTTGATATAGCGCAGTGCAAGTTCGGCGCAGCGCGAGACACTTAACGCCAGGCCAGCAGCTACCCGAGCTGCATGGCTGTCAGCACTCAGTTGTGTTTAAATACGGTGGCTCCTTTGGCTCAGGGTTGGGTGAATTGGAAAGAAAGATATGCAAACCTTACCTCCTTTCTAAAGCTGCTTACTGGGGGACAAACCTTAGCTCTGCCTTGCTGCCAGCAGCTGGGTTCTGAAGAGCCAGGGCAGCAGAGCTGGGAAGTCCTTAATAAGGTCTGCTGTGTTCGTGCAGCTATGATGAAGGATTCACGTCTCTTTGTAAAGCAGTGGTCCTACACCTTGTCGTACAAACTTGGCTTCAATGCAGCGATAGTTTCTAGAGCTGTAATCTGCATCGCATGCAGGGCTGTAGCAAGGACCAGGATTTATTCATCTCCTGGCTTTTTCACTGGCATTGCTCGAGGTTATGAAAAGGAGCTGCTGCTTGGCTGGGATCTCTGTTTTTTGTTGCTGGTGTTCTTCTGTTGTTGTTGTTTTTTTGGGGGGTGTTTTTTTCCCTAATATGTTATTTGTATTGGTCAGACTTTATATGGAGGCTTTGGTGTGCCTGTGGATATTCTGTGGAAGAGTTGCTCTATGAACATTTTTAACATACGTGGGTTTCTTCAACTGTACTTTACTACAGGATTTGCTAATAAGTCCATGTGGCTGAGAAGTCCTGGGACAGTATTGGGGAACATCTCTATTGGTGCTCAGGTATCATGTTAAATCTGAAAGTGGCCTCACCTGTATCCCTCTTGTACTTCAGAGCTGTCCCACTGGTATAGGAGCTCTATCAAGCATGAGGGAGTGGATGTAGGACAATGTTTCAAATCTTGCTCCTGCTCTTTCTGGGCCTTTGTGCATCCAAAAACCCAAATGAAAGACTGAGATGCTCCATGTGCTGCCAGGGCTCAGGGTGGAGTGGGGAAGTTGCAGAACTCTGGCATTCATGGGATGCAGGAAGTCAGGTTTTGTTTGCTTTCAGTGGATACTTGACATGACCTCTTTCATCTTCACCCTTTTGAATAAGCTGAATATCTCCAGTAACATAAGTCAGAATTTCAACTTGAGCATTGTAGGGTACTGCCTAGCTCTTGCTGGGGTATTATTGGAATATTTAATTCATCAAGAGTATGTGGATAGGAAAAAAAGGATCAGCATTGCTCTAAGTAACAGAGGCTTACTTTTAAGTGTTTTTATTTTATTGCAATAAATTAGTGAAGTTCTCTGTTTATAAATTAAGTAGCTGAGATCAATCACTTCACTTAAATGTGACTGAGGCTAAAATCGTAGTGAGAGAAAGGAAATAGGAAAGAGCTTGGTGGAAGCAAAGTGGTGATCTTTGTATAAATGCTGTCATTAATTGGGAGTCCAGTGGGGTATCCAGCAGGAGATTTAAGTACAAATGCATCAAGGATCACAAGCCATGTCTCGCTTTCTAACCAAACTGGTAAATACAGAGTGCACACAAGTAAATGACTGCGATCAAATCAGTTGCATAATGTCCCAGTAATCTTAATTCAGAAGAGCCTTCGTGGCTTCTGATCTCAGCCTTGCTGGCTGCTAGCTCTAGGGTTATTGTAATGTTATTGACTTCTTCTTTTAAACCCATTCACATTTTCTGCCACTCTGAAGTCCATGTTGTTTTCTAGAAGTAAAACCTGAGAGTGGTAGCAGGTATAAAAATGTCAGACCAGACTGAGGTGATGTGTGGGGATGAGGTGTGAAGCAGTGTCATCTTCTGCCATCTTCTCTCTGTTACTACCAAGACTTTTACTACCAAGACTACAACTTTAGATCCACCTTTAAGACGGGTGTGTGGTTTTTTTTGCAATGATAATGATCAGTGGGTGTGAAATGGAAAAGATTAGCAGCTGGGGAAGGATGATGCATCACTGCCTTTTTTTTTTTCCTTTTTGATTAAAAGGAATGAACTTGTTCTAAATCACAGCGCTCCTTCTATGCACAGTTTGTCTAAGGTGTGCCTACGTTATTTGGGATGACAAAGCTAAATGTGTCATACCTAGTGAATGTATGGGAGGGCAAGCACTTAATTGATAAAGGCGCTCCCGTTGACTTTGGTCTTTAATCAGTCTGTGGACTGAGTCTCTTCTGTAAATTGCCACTTAGGAGCTGTGTAACCCTCAGAATTTCTTTGAGAGTTTTGATAGAGACGAGAGCTCTCAATTCCATGCCAAAATGCCGTGCAACTTAATGAAGTATGAACTTCAAAAGCTTCAGCAAGAATGCACTGACCCTCTCTTAATATAACCTGAGCTTTGGGTACAGTAGATCTCTTGTGTTAATGAATGAACTACTGTAAGTCTTCCAGTGTGTTTTGTTTTAATGTAGGTGGGAAGAAAAAGATGGTATTAATAATAGGAATATGGTTCTTTCACTTGCATATCTCACACAGATTG